AAGTTTATCAAAAAGAAAGGAGAAAATAAAACACTCAAATGTTTATCAAGAAGGAAAAAGGAAACAAAAACAACATCTTACATGGAAAAAAATATTCGATTGGTAGAAATCTAAGAAGTTAGTTTCTAGATTATATTTAAGTTCAAAAACTATTTTAATTTAGATGAGCAGATTACGCGACGAATCTGTTATAAAATTCAAAGAAAGAATCATATAATAATGTACGATTCAAAAAACCAACTGAGAAAATGGTATTTTCGTCCTGTGTTTACACGATTACTAATTATAGTATAAGACAAGCAGTGGTCCGGTGCTACAACAGACTAGAGAAATAAGAAATGGCAAGCAGTGGGAGGTTGGTATTTGAGAGACATACAATTGTCGTCCCTTCTTCACGAAGGTATCGTCTTCGTTAATTATAAGATAAGCAGGTTTCACTGGCTAGATAACGTCTACGTCTGCACGCTCGTACCGGGAATATCCCGTGGTTCGATCGCAAAGAGTTAACCCTTTGCACTCGAGGCCTTTTTTTCTTTTATCTACCAGTAACTCGAGATGCTTTCTTAGCATTCTATTGCCACAAATGCTAAGATTATATTCACTTCGAAAATTAAATCCCTAATTTGAGATTTGAGAATCGGGTCACCTTTGCCTCAACGACAATCATTTTATTGGCCCTTGAGTTCCAAAGAAATTGAAGCAAAAGAAAACCTAGTGGTGACTGAGAGTTACCTCTCGAATGCAAAGGGTTAATTCGAGTATAATTCAATTGCAAGTCACGAAAAATGTATCTTGCCTTTTCCTCTTATCGGTCGATTAGGAACACGGTTCAAAGCTTCAAAGGCTTCGCTTCTCCGTATCATTATAGTTTCTGTTGTTTTTTGCGTTCACAGAAAAATCTGGTTATGTCAGGTCTACAATGGTGTTATTAATCCATTAACCGAGAACGACGAGCCAACTCGTTATTTTTACTCGTCTCTACTTTCAATACGTTTACGCTTATACGCTCCTTTGCTGGCCATTTTACACCAAGTTGATCTTCTATTCACTTTTCAACCTCGACGTGAGGAATTTTTGCGATACTAAAAATAAAGTCACCTAACCCTCGATTTACACGGTTTTCAAAGTAATGGATTTGGAAGAAAATAAAAATTTACGCAAGAAAACGTATGGACCAACATCTAACATTGGAGAAAACCTCATAAGAAACTGTCGTTAATAACCAAAGGTTGATGCGACGTTAAATATGAACAAAAAAATTACGCTGCAAACATGTTTGTCCCGTCATCTTTTATTGAAGTGTAAGTTCTTATACGACGTCAGATTTTAAATACAAAATTTAGTAGTTTTTAATAGTTTTTAGTTTCTATAACTCCGGTAAACCATTAAATTTTGTATTTAAAAATTGTTCAATATTTCTTACAATTTCGGAGATATTAGCAAAAATATCATTAAGAATAAATCATGGTATATGTTGTAAGTCGCTAATAATCCATGATGTTGATGCGATGTTAAGCTTATTAAATAAAAAAAAAAAAAAATAACAGCGTTACGATCGATTCGAAGACTTGTTGGATCCATCGAGAGAAAATAATCCGCGAAAGATTAATATTACAGCAAAATTATACTCTCCACAATTGCTACAACAAGTATTGTTAATAAATAATTAATTTAACTATTGGCAGAAATGAATTTTTAGTTATTCAAATCAATAGATGTAAAAAAAAAAGAAAAATTTCTTACGATTAATGTCTTCAATGAAGACTTATTTATATGCAATTATTTTTATAATAATATAAAAGCGAAACATTTTGGCTCTTCGAGTTCTCTAAACTTATTAGGTATACCTCGTTATTTATATTATATTTTTATTAAAAAAATGAAATATATGCAATTATTTTTATAGTAATATAAAAGCGAAACATTTCAATGAAGACTTATTCTGAGCCGTAATTCTTATTAGTATTTAAGCGACTATTAAATTGTACTGTATGCTTTCTAAATGGTTAATCAATTCGGAAATACTCATTTTATTTGCATCTCGAGTCACAGATTGTTATTATTACTATAAAAGGCCACCGTTTAATGTATTTCTCTTATTAATTAAAATAAAAAGAAAATTACAAAAATAAACAGTAGAAAGAAAAATCATATCGTATATTGGCTTGTTTCGTCGCATCTCATCTGTGCCCACGATCCCCTTCGATAGAAATTGTACCAGGGTTAACAACGATGGATCGCATCGAGTGTAGGATACGAGTGACAAGGTAATAGTGACGTTGGTGTAATTTAGTGTCTATTACGCGTAATGCTGGACAAAGCCGGACACCAATTACTATTTTGAAACGAATTGAAAGTGATGTTAGACTGTAATAAGAGTTCTGTGGAACAAAATTTAACGCGACTGCAGCGGTGGTATTCCGCGCAAAATGTGTCGCTTAAGAAGGGAGTTACAAGAAAAACGCTGAAAATAAGGCTTTATTTATGAATTTATAACGAACGAACGGTTCAATAAAATTATTTGAAATTTTGTACACGTTTGAAATTACGGATAAAATGTTTGTATAAAGATTCATTGATGTATTTACGCCAAAGGGCGAAAATTAATTAGTTTAGAAGTTATGAATTTTGCGAGAAGCGCTCGTATACTCGACACATGGTGCGTCGACGCAAATGGTTCGTAATTGTTACGAGGCTTCTGTCTAGAGTGTGTTTTAATTATGCATCGACAAATGCACAGTCTGCTGTGTATAAATAACAATGAATCACGGTATGTAGATCAAAAGATTACAGCGTTCGGTAAATAGTTTACAACAGTGTTTCTCAAACTAGAACATTGACAGAAGTTTGTAAGCTCTCAAAGTTTGGATAAAAGAGGTTCTACTCTATATAAATTGATTGTAATGCAGATCAAGTTGAGAAGATAGAAGGTTGCTAATTAAACGTAACAAAGTGACGAGTAAACATTTTTACTTAAACCATCGTTATGAACGATAAAATATAAAGGCATAGAATTAATTTCTATTTCTACAGCTAATAACACTGTCCAACACGATTTTTTTTCCGCGATATCTACAAGGTGATTCTTATAGGGTTTCTCGTCCTAAATACGAATCTGAAAATGAAATTGCTCCATCACCCTTAGTTTTCAAGAAATACGAGATTTTGTAAAAACGGTCGATTTTTAGAGAAAACGTAGTACTACTTGAAAACTAGGAGCGCTAGAAAGTTCTATTTAGTCTTAAAAGATAGAGGAGTATTTTCTGAATACGAAGACATATTCCTTTAGAATTATCTGCTCCTTTGAATGCCTGTAAATGAACACCGAAGTTCAAAAAGGTGATGATGCGTGAATCTTTCACGTAATACTTTTGTATTTTAATGAAAAGTTATTCACCTAGGTCGATTTTACACTACGTTATCGGATTCTGCAAACATTTCTCAAGAGAAAACCACCCGCGGCAAATGTTGGAACGGTTTCTAATCCATACCGTTTGACAAAATGTCAACTCGGAACGCATGAACTGTGTTTTGCCGCTGCACAGCCATTGCTCGCTATGTTTCGGTCAGTCAGGGCCGTCGCTACGGGATTCGCCTAATCGGTGCCACGCGTTATCGGTTTTTGTATTACATTTACATGTTCCAGATAAGTAATTCTTCATTTTTAATGTTTCATTTATACTGCAACTTAACAAAACGGAGACAATTTTCTACTGTTGAAATTTTAATCATTAATTTCCCGTTTTTGTATTTTCAATTATTCGACTTTTGCTAATTTGGTATTAAGCAAACTTTATTTAAATCTAAATTGAATTATTTAACAATTAATTCAATCTGTAATTGTATATTTTGTTGTTAATTTTTAATGAAAACTGCTAACTATAAAAAATCTCTCTTTAGAGCAGAGTTTACCCCCCAAACACTAACTTAAATAACAAAAGATTAAAGTATCGAAAAGTAGAAACATTAAGCTTTAAAATGGTTTTCTATTCGTCAATGTGGGGCGAATTTTAACCAAGTTACGAGAATTTGATGGTTATTATTCAAGCACGTGGCGTGCGTGCAGAACGCACGCATGACGACGGTCCTGATTCACCGATATAAAGCGAGCGAAGCCTGCGCGCCGGCAAACAGAATTCGTGCGTTCTAAATTAATATTTTCTGGATCTGTACGAACTAGAAAACGTTACAACATTTACCGCGGGTGGTTCTCTCTTCAGAAATGTTTGCAGAATCCTATAATGCATAGTAAATTCGACCTAGACGAATAACTTTTCATAAAAATACAGAAGTATTTCGTGAAAAGTAGTCGTGTCGCCAACATTTTGATCTTCGGTGTTCATTTACAGGCATTCAAAAGAGCAGATAATTCTAAAAGAATATGTCTTCATATTTAGAAAACACTTCTCTATCTTTTAAGACTAAATAGAACTTTCTAGCGTTCGTGTAATTAGAAAACGTACACGTATGGCAAAATATTCGTGAAGAAGTTAATCCTTTGCACTCGAGAGGCGAATGAGTAGCGACAGTCTTCGATTATTTTAGATTTCCTTGAATCTTGTAGCGATATTAGTTCATGAATAAATGTCTAAGGTGTAAACTGGTACACTTTGAAGCACTAGTAAATTTTGTTCTTTTATATATATATTTAATTTGTTTAAGGTCGCATCAACATCACAGGCATTTTATTTCCACGATTCTCCAATCATGCTACATAGAAGAAGGTTTAGTCGTCTAAGGCCGAACACACACAGGCGCAACCGATTTGAAATTAGTGTTGCAAACTCTTTGTTTTACTTACTCCACTATCTTTGTTTTACTTAGATCTACGGTCGCATGCAACTATGTAGTTTCAAAGTGGTTTAAAACTGATCAGTTGCGCCCGTGTGCGATCGGCCTAAATTGTTACCTAATCTGTTGTCGAGTGCAAAACGAATGAAACGAATAAGCATTTGTTGAGTGATCGATGCGAATGTGATTTGTTCCCTTTCTCGTTGCAGTTCCTCCAAAATTTGGGCAAGGTGGACCGAACCGCGGATGACATATTTGACGAACATCTACAGAACTTTCTGAGACAGCAAAATGCCGCTAACAGGTTGCAAAAGGAGTTCAACAATTACATCAGGTGTGTTCGAGGTGAGTCGATTGGAATGGAATCGAATTCTAGGATGCCGGCGCAGCGCATTGCGTAACTCCTTTAACGCGATTAAAATTCATCCGTGACTAGCGACATATTTACCACGTTCTACGACGAAATTCATAAGAAAAATAACAGGTATATTTCGGAGAAGAAATATTCATGATAAATAGGTTACGGATGTTCGTGCATTTATAACAAATGGAGATACGGAGAACTCTATACGAATGTGCACAAATGCAAAATTATATAAAATGTTTAAATTCTTTTCTCTATGAAAATATTAATTTGTATAAACAGTCGCAATGATGAAGTAAAATACTCTGTCTGTATATTAAAATAGCCATATTTTTTTGAGAGAATACAGGAAATTGATGTCATAACGACGACACTGTGCTTATTATTTTATTTTGTAAATTCAAGAATAAAAGGGATTAACTGGTATCAAGAGTATTATAAAAATAATTTGAAAAAATCACGAATCTAAAAATTGATCATAATTGATCCTGCAAAAGATCATAAAATTGTGTACACTTCGTGTTAAAATTGCATTTAGTGTAACTATACACTTCGAGAAGGCTGCAGGAAGAATCTCTACTCTACATAGTATCTAATTTCTAATGTTTTCGTTTTTCCGACCTGTAATTTTACTCTCTCGCATCGTGTCGTTGCTTCCGTCAAGGTGAGTACATTTACAAGGATGGTAATAAATAATTCAAGTAAGTTATGACCAGTCGAAAGAAACGGTATAAAAACCAATTGACGTTTCAAGCTCGGAGTACCTTGAACACTTGAACTTTTTCCCAACTCGCAATAAATATCGAACTTTACAACGCGTTTTATTTTGTTTACAGACCGAGTAACTCATGTTTTTATTTTTTTAAATAATCATGAGCTTCCACAAAGTTGAATTACCAGTTTCACACAGACCTAACCATCAATTTATCTACATACAGGATGTCCACGCTAAAGTGTGACATACGTATATTTCAATAACTATTGATAATACGAAAAAATTGTTTATACGTAAATTGCAGGATACAATGGGCTCTATTATCAATTTAGAAGATATGATGGTGAAGTTTCGTTTTTTAAATGAAATTATATATTTTTGGGGGGATCATGCGATAGTCTTTCCAACGTAATTAAGTATCTAAGGCAGTGTTTCCAACCTTTTTCGTGTTATGCCCCATCTAAACTTTTCTCCCCTCCAGTATATAAATAATTTTGAATATTTAAAAATGGAAATGTTCACTAAAAAAACTTAAATGATAGGTTTTAGGAAGAAATCACTAGGAAATTATTGAGCACACGCACTAAGTAAATTTTCAAAACATATAATGGAGAACTGAAATTCAAGTAAGAAATAATTTTAATGAATGATTTTTCTATATTGTTTTATATTTTTTAAAACAACGAGGCTTTTACAACAACTTAACGAACGTTTATTTCACATTAACACCAACGACGAATGCTGAGCGTTACTGCGATACATTGCGGAAACTGAGATCCCGGCACTAAGCATTTTGGCTACTAGCGTGACGGAAAGAAGTTAATTATATTCGAGGTTTACCCAGCTCGAATAACGACTGCAAATCGCCATACGGTTAACTTAAACTCTGGACGAATCCATTTTCAAATTGCCCCCTTTAAGGAGGGAGTATGATACAGCCAAGTTTTGTTTCCAATGCGTATCACATTAAAATGTAATTTATTTTTGTTCGTGAAACTTTTTTTTACATATCAAGGTACGTTCAAGGAAAAAAATTTGACATTAAAGATTTAATTTGAATATACATATACATATACAGGGTGGTCCACGCAATTGTTTCAAGTCATAACTCCGTTATTATTGTATTTACGAGAAAATGCCAAAGGAGAAAGATAAATGGTTCGAAGAGCACTACATCTGTAGGCCTTAAAAATTTTTTTTTAGACACAGTAGTGCATGTGCAATTAACAATTAATTGCATCATTTCTTTAAATAGAAACGGATATTTTTTTTACACAGATCGATTCTTCTGTTCATTCTACGTAAAAAATGATTAGGGTACCATGGCAAAAAAATGATTAGATCTCGAGATATTTTCAAAAAATGTCTGGGTGGACCACCCTCTATAGATATAATAGTAGCAAACGAAGGATTCGATCAAAACTGCGAGATACCTGGAATCCTTGGAAAACCTCCGAAATAGAAAATAAAAAAGATTATTCTATAGTATGTATATAAAATGCGGATGAACCTGAGTTTACACCAAAAAAATTGTCAATTGCAAAAATGACGGAAAGAAACATGAAAATGAACGAAACAAGTTGACCGTTAATTTGCAATAACTTCATGCTATAATAATAATTTATGAAGAGTCGAGGTTTATCCGCATATAAACTTAATTATCTTCAATTTAAACTCTGAACCAAGCGAATCGGATAAAAATTCGATGAAAAATAGCTTTCGCAAATTTGGAAAATGTGGTTTTGAGAAAAACGCGTTTAAGGTTTTCGGTTGTATAAAAACAAAGTTTTTCTCTTACGGCTGTGTAAAGCTAATCTACGATTCCAGGAGCATACAGTAGACCTTTGCGAAAGCATTTTCCACACGGTTAGGAAGATTTTTAAGCAAAACAAAGTTTTTAATTCCAGTATTTAGCTTTTCGAATTTATTTACTGTGTTGATGATTGTCTACGAACAATGTTCAGTGTTTGGTAACAGACTTGCCTTTCAATGTACAGTGAGTAACTTTAATGTTCGGACACTATGAGATTTTTACATTATCACATCGTAACTTCGTTTCTAACAAAACAAGCAAAAAACATAATCAAGTATTATATTAATGTATATGTTTAGTAAACAATAGTATAAGTTTCATTTACATAACTTACTGTAATTGCTAAACAACACGATTCAAACAAAACGTTGTCTGTTTTTCGCGTTACTTTAATACTCGGACACTTTTAGAAACTATTTATTTTGAGGCTAATTTTTATAATAATATGTGTTTTAATATCTTGCTGGGTAGCCATTCTGTTGTATCACTTCTTTTAAACGTTGTGGCATATTGCTAATGATTTTTTTTAAATAATCAATAGTTATTTTGTCCAATTCTTCTTTTAACCGATATTTCAACATTTCTTTTGAAGATATTGTTGTTGTCCTGATACGTTGCTCTAGTTCATTCCACACATTTTCGATAGGATTGAGGTCAGGTGATTGAGGTGCCGGTTGTAAAACTTTTGGACAATTATACAGTAAATATTCTTGCACGATGCGTACCTTATGTTTCGGGTGATTGTCCTGGTAAAACTGAAATGTGTTTAAAATTCCCATTTGTGTAGCACTTTTGTGTAAATTATTTTTTAATATGTTCAAATACACATTTTTCTCTATAATATTGTCAATAAAAACTAATTCGCCCAGCCCAAATGTGGATATACAGTCCCAGACAAGCACACTCACTCCTTCATGCTTTACAGTTGGCCTTAGATTTTTAAATTTAAATTCTTCATTTTTCTTGCGCCGCACCATCCTTCGTCCATCTGATCCGAAAATGTTAAATTTACTTTCGTCGGTAAAAATGACATCGTTCCATCATGTTTCTTCCTTGAAAACAAATTCTTTAACAAAATTTAATCTCTTCTTTCGATCCTGTTCATTCACATACGGTTTCTTCCTAGCTACTCTTCCATTGTAACCACTATCTTTTAAGGCTCTGCGGATTGTTTGGGGGATGTACCTTCTTTCCAGTCTCGTTTAAAAGCTCTGTTGCTAATTTTGGTGCACCGAGTGAAGGATCCTTCTTTATTTTTCTTATTAGTTTCCTCTTATCACGTGGATCCAACTTGTTCGGTTGGTCCTTTTGGGGTATAGAGTCTATACGATCCTCGTATTTGAACCGTTTGATGATATTTGCCACTGTACTCTTACTCATGTTGAGTATGGTAGCAATTTGTCTACATGATTTCCCCTTTGCATTGTGAAAAATCACAAGTTTGTCTATATAAATTATAGGTGGTATTGCTTTTGCGTGCATTATACACCTGGACGTAACGGTTATCGAAGAATAACTGATGAAATAAAGCTTGTTAGTATCATCTGAACAGTCGACTGGATTTGTAAACAAACAGTCCTACTCACCCGAATATTAAAGTTACTCACTGTACCTAGTAACAGTATGGAGGAATTATTGTCAGCCTAGATTGGCATATGCTACTGTAGATAAAGTGTTAACAATCGAATTGCTCCCAATGTGGTGCGTGGGCCCCACATTGAGAAACACTGGTCTAAGGTCATACCTAGGCGCTTGGCTCTGTTTTCGTGTAGTCATGTTGTTATTTACAGTAATTGGTATCTGCCGAGAATGTAAGAATGAGCATTTCGAGGACGAACAGCTTCCGTAACCTTTCACGGAAACTCATTTCTACGCAGCTGACTTTTACCTTTCCTTGCGTTAGTCGGGATGGTTCGCAACGGCATTTGCGCATAAATACCCGCATGCGCTGTATCAGCGACAGCTGAACGCAAAACTTGTCGATAGACACACGTATTCGTATGGTTTCCACTTTCGTGATAAATCGTATCGTTTATTGTTCGAGTGGCTACACCGTCGGTAACAGATGAGTATGTACTTGAAAATATCTCAAAGTAATTCGTAATTCTTCACCTTTGGTGGAACTTCTTCACGAAATAGTTCTCAACAAAATATTCGACACGTGTACTATACAACAACTGTTTAACCTCACTCAAATATAATTAAAAATATCGTGAAATTAAATACCTATTTCGGAAGTCACATTACATTAGGTTGTCTCGAAAGTTTCTTTCGCAACTCATTGTCAGCTGTTCTGTTATCCGTGATAAATGTTTTATGAGAAAAACGAATCTGTATGAATAATATACTCCTATTTGGAGCAGGTACTTTAAGAAACAATATTATTTCATAATATGAATATTATTAGATTAATTATAATTTAAAAATAATTAATTTATAGAAATATATCTATATAAACACTTTTAGGGAATAGCATTGTAAATTTATTTTTACTTGCTTCAAAGTTTATTTTAAATTATTTCATATTCGACGAATTAACCCTTTGATCGCGGAACGATTTTTGCTGGAAATTCTAAGAGACGTAGAGGTGTGAATTTTTCAAAAATATCAGCTTATAAGGCATGATAAGACGGAACTTTTTTTGTATTTACAGTTTATTCGTAAAACGTTTAGTTTCAAAAATAAATATTAAAAACTAAAAGACCTTTTTTCTTGAGATCTCGTAGTGACCTGACCTCGACTGTTCTCTTAAAGAAAAAAAACAACAGTCAAACAATCGAATTTGAAAAAAAGTATCACCTTATAGAGAATGACAAAACGGAACTTTTTTTGTATTTACAGTTTATTCGTAAGACGTTTATAGTCCGAGAGCCCGCGACAGAAATGGGTGACTCATTTCATTACACAAATGGACCTGTTTTCCGAAGATGGTATGTCTCCCTAGTTCAGAAATGCTTGGTCTGGCATGAATTCAGTGGTGCAACGCTTCACTATGGCGTATTATAATAATTTGATTTTTGGCCAAAATCATTACTACTGAAATTTTTAGCATGTATTGTTGACATACCAAATTGCATAAAAAAAGTTGGTCTGGCAGATTGTAAACGATTCTAAATGGGTCTGGCAGTCGGAAAACCTTGTCGGAAAAACGAAGTAATTCATTAAAACATCTAATAAAACTATCAAGTAACTGATATCATTATTTCTGAAACTTTTTCTATAAACAATATGTAAATCGGTATGGCAGCCGTTTAAAAAAACGCACACATGCGATACCGACGTTGAGATCTCGATACTCTAATAAAACTCTAAAGTAATAATTATTTTCAAACATTATATACATTAGTTATTTATAGAATATCGTTGTGATGATTTTTACTTCATACAATTATTATTATTATTTAACTTTAATAAGTCATGAAATTGCACGGCGCGCATGTGTTCGCTCTTTTAAGGCCAGGTTACACCAATAAAACGTGCTTTTTTAAATAAATTTTGTTTATAATAAAAAAAATACTTCAGAATCAAACTTTTTACAGCTGAAAGTACATATATTAAACTATTTGAAAAAAGAAATTTTTCTTTTTTTTTTTTCAATGGCGGCTCTGAAAATGGCTGCTCAAACTTGTCCAATTTGTTAGCGGGTGTCATCATTTCTTGGAAACGAATCATCTGAAAGCAAAAAATAAAATGGTTTCATATTCTGTATCGCATTGGCTATGATCGGTACTACAATAAAACATTTTCACCGAAAAAAAAAACAAAATGGCGGACTTTTGATTTTTTCGACTTTTTTTTGCACTTTTAATTGTTTATAACTTTTTTAAATAACACTGAATATTTTTGGTTGTAGTACCGATCATAGCCAATGCGATACAGAATATGAAACCATTTTATTTTTTGCTTTCAGATGATTCGTTTCCAAGAAATGATGACACCCGCCAACAAATTGGACAAGTTTGAGCAGCCATTTTTAGAGCCGCCATTTAAAAAAAAAAAAAGAAAAAATTTTTTTTTCAAATAGTTTAATATATGTACTTTCAGCTGTAAAAAGTTTGATTCTGAAGTATTTTTTTTATTATAAACAAAAATTATTTAAAAAAACACGTTTTATTGGTGTAACCTGGCCTTAAACGGCTGCCAGACCGATTTATCACCACTCAAAGTTTGCCAGACCAAATTTTGTTAACCCTATGTATTACATATTGTTTGTACAAAAAGTTTAAGAAACAATGATTTCAGTCAAACTACTTCGTTTTTCCGACAAGGTTTTCCGACTGCCAGACCCATTTAGAACCGCTTACAATCTGCCAGACCAACTTTTTTATGCAATTTGGTATGTCAACAATACATTCTAAAAATTTCAGTAATAATGATTTCAGTCAAAGATACTGTTATTTCTTACATGTTTCCGACCTTCTATGCACCGTTTGTGCTCTGCCAACCTTGGATTATTTTTATTCTTTAGTAGAAAACAGTCAAATAGCCAAAGGATATTTGTAATGAAATTGGCCGAAATTTTGTGTCGCGGGCTCTCGGACTATTAGTTTCAAAAATATTAATTAAAAACTGAAAGACCTTTCTCCTGAGATCTCGTAGTGTTCTGACCTCGGCTGTTCTCTTAAAGAAAAAAAACAACAGTCAAACAATCGAATTTGAAAAAAAGTATCACCTTATAGAGAATGACAAAACGGAACTTTTTTTATATTTACAGTTTATTCGTAAGACGTTTAGTTTCAGAGTTAAAAATTGAAAACGTAGACGACCTTTTTTTCCTAAAATTTAATTTTTTCAATGAACTTTTATTTTTGATCAATTTTTATTTTCGAAACTAACCATCCTATGATTAAACTGTAAATATAAAAAAGTTTTGTCTCGTTATCCCGTATAAGCTGATATTTTTAAAAATTTGATTCAACGATCACAAACATTTCTCTGAACCCATTTCTTGTTGGCTTATATGTATATATGTATACGCCCTTCGCATTCAAAGAATTAATAGAAATGTCTGTGCTGATAAATTTATATAAATATATTTATACGCAATAAAATCATCATGAGATTTGTCTATGTATGTTTGCAGCGGTGCAAGCGGCCTCGAAGACCCTCATGGACTCATTCAATGAAATCTACGAAAGTCAATGGACCGGTCATGATCTGTTGTACGTGCAGGCTCAAAATCTAGACATGCTGTGGCAAGACTTCACTCATAAACTTGCGGATCAAGTTCTCGTGCCTCTCAACACATATCAAAGTCAATTTCCAGAGATGAGGGTACATCTTACAACCTAAGTTATTACAAAAATTTCCTTTCATTTCTTCTACACAATTTATCCAAATTATATGAAATAGTTGTTCGTTACCGACATTGTAATAATTTGGAATAACTTGTAGCTTATTTTATTTAAAAGGATTATCAATTCGACCCGTACATATGTTTTATTAGCTGGACTGGGAAGTAATGTCGTTTTTTCAATTTGAAATACTTGTTTATCACTCACTAGTTCAGTGATTTTTATCGATCTGGCATTCAACATTTTTACCCTAAATGGCAAAAGGCTGTTGATAACGAGGGCGATTACATAATTGATTAAAAAAAAGGAATTTATTAAAAATTTGTTTGAATTTAATATAAAATAAACGACATTACTTTCCAGTCCACCTAATATATACGACGAAAGGTATTTAAATTAATTTTTGTTTATTTGAAAGACAAAATTTTCCTCGCACCGCTTTTATTTGCAAATGTACAGTCGTGTCAAACTTCCTAAATTGAATAACCAATATAGAACAAATAAATTACCCTTATATATCATTTTTGCTCCAAATAAATGGTTATTTTTGTCCTTCTTCCAAGAATTTTAATTATATTTTAATTTACTAAAAACCATTTTTAATTTAAAAGGGGGTTAATATTATTGTTTCGTTAAAACTTAATTTTTTTATATGTTCATCGTCAGTTATTTAATATATTTTGTATTGCACCAGTTGCGTTATTATTTGGTAACTTTTCATTTCGCCATGTTAAAACGTAATTGTGCACAACCGATTGAACTGTGAATGTCACGATGAAATTTACAGAAAAAGATCGACAAGCGAGGGCGAAAGCTGGTAGATTACGACAATCAGAGGCACAACTTTCAATCGCTGCAATGTAATCCGAGAAAACGAGACGAGCTGAAAGTTACCCGGGGAAAAGAATTACTGGAAGAGGCTAAGCGTACATACGAACAACTTAATTCGGAACTTCATGACGAATTGCCTGCTTTGTACGACTCGCGTGTTCTTTTCCTCGTGACTAATTTGCAAACCTTATTCGCTGCTGAACAAGTGTTCCACACCGAAAGCGCCAAGGTACGTAGGAAAATTATATTTCTTCCACGCGAAACCAGTATCTTATCCCCTCGTGTTCCCAGACCATACAGTGGGTGTAGAATGTATTCGAACGCCGATCAATTTCCTAAAAAACTTTTGGGAAATTGTAGTTTATTAATTTCTTTTTTTATAATCAATGATATTCTACATATTCTCGGAAATCTCTAGAATAGATATTGTCCAAACAACAGTCATTGGTTTATATAATTTGCGAAATTAACAAGAACGTACGAAAAATTAGCAGAAATATAGAAGCAATAAATATTCGTACGGTTTTTATAACGAACCATTTACAGTAGAATTTGTAACATAAACACATCAGTTTATAGCTTCGTACGAATTAGAAACATCAAAATTACAGTAAAGAAGTCTTAAAAGATGTTTTAATACAAGACTGGAAGAAGATCCCATCCCGAATAACATTAAAAGTTAATTTACCTAATGCCTAGAAAAATTTCAGCAATTATAAAATCAAAATGAAATCCCACGAAGTATTAATTGTTTATAAATTAATGTAAATTAATGTAAATTTCATGTTTTTTTTTTAATAAAGTTTTGAAAATTTAACATTTGTTCGGATACTTATTGCTTCTATATTTCTATCGATTTGTTGTTCTTTTCTTGTTAATTTTACAACTTATATAAATAACTAATTTTGTTTATACTGCATCTAGTGTACAGATTTCCAAGAATACGTAGAATGTCATTATTTATAAAGAAGAAGTTAATAAATTACAATTTAATGTAGTTCTTTTTTTTTAATTTACCAGTGTACGAATACTTACTACACCCATTGTATTAACACTTTATCTACCGGGCTATTTAGAAATAGTCTTTAATTCAAAAAAGAATTTTCTACAGTAGCATATACCAATCTAGGCTGGCAATAATTCCTCCATACTGTTACTAGGTACATTGAAAGCCAAGTCTGTTTCCAAAAACTGAACATTTGTAAGTAGACAACCATCAACACAGTAAATACATTCGAAAAGCTAAATACTGCAATTAAAAAGCCTATAAATAAGCTCCCGGTAAATAAAGTGTTAAAATTATCAAGTACAAATACTTAACACCTTGACTACCAGACCAATATCCTTGAAAACTTCCACTACGGTCAAATTTTGTTTAAAGACTGTATTGAAAACTACACAATCAAACAATTATTGTTCTGTTTATTTTTGTAACTTTAAGAATTTCATAAAAAAAATTTTTTTTGTCACTTGACTTTCAGAATTAATTTGTTTAGTTCTTCAGTAAAGAGCACCGTCACCCATGCATGAGTGACGTGACGATCAATGTGTTAATCATGATTGTATTCATTTCTAATCTGGAATCTTACTTCATAAGAAACAGGTCGATCTATGGAACGGATTGAAGCTAAGAGCAAATATTTAGAATGTAACGATCACTTAATATCAACAGAAATATTATCATAGATTTGATTTAATATATTAGGTTGTCCCAAAAGTTTCTTTTGCTTTATTAATAAGTACATTACTAAGTTACATTACTAAATTGTGCACGATTCATTTTGCTCCATTATTGTTACAACATGAATATCTATGAAATTAGATTGTCTATTTATATAAACACGACCACATAAAATAATCGAGTGCAACTCGCGAAAGAAACTTTCGGGACAACCTAATAAATCATTTCTTCCTTTCAACAGCAGCGAAGAAACTAGATTGATGTTCGATTTAAGCGAGATACCCTATATTATAGAACTGACTATTTTCATTTAAATTATTTCCCATTAAAAATCCAAAGATGAATAAAATGCTTAGACAGATTCTATCGACTATTTGTCCAAACTAAATATTTCATCTAAGGGTTGACGAAATATACAGGGTGTCCCAAAAATGTTGGAGTTCTTTGAAAGGGCTGACTTCAAACATTTTCGCTAAGAAAACAGTTGTTTCAAATCTCCCCCAACCACCCCTTTCAAGGAACTCCAATATTTTTCGGACACCCTTGTATGTTCCTTCTTGTTGTATCTTCTGAATATTCCTCTTAATAACCGTAACTCGACGCTTTCATATTTTAGGTATATTCTGAACTAGAGGCAATCGTCGATAAATTGGCCAACGAAAGTCAGAGAGGATCGTACACGCTGAAGAAAAACACGGAACCGCAATCTCCAAAATCGCCAAACGCCAACTCTTCGTAAGTGAACTAGTCGAAGCACGCTTAACACTTCGCGGTTCTGATTTCCTGATTTTTATCAATTTTCCTCGCTCAACATAGAACCGCATAGGATTAATAAGTTACAGATTGGCATTTCTACGATATTAACCGCTTTCAACTTGTTTCAGTTTAATAATCAACACGCAACCAGCTCAGAATAATATTTCACCAGGTAAATATTCACTATGGGTCCAGCCGCGTCATTTTTTTTTTTTTGCATTTGACTCGTTTGTGTACTAATATCTTGTGCATGCATGTGACGTAGTCGTGCCACATAAGAAGTTGTCGAATACATAATTATGTGGCTAAACGTTTAGTTTTGAGTGAGCTTTATTGCGTGTTACAGCTGTGGAGGATTCCGCTCCGGCAGCAAGAGATACATCACCGACTACTCAATTAAACGGCAATGCTAACAGCAATGCTAACAGCAATGATAATTCCCTCAATAATCAGGATGAGTCTCCGCAAAGCACAGTCGCGGCTTCTAAACGAGTGGAAGAGTTGTACGATATTCCTGTTGGTAAGTATGCTGTGTAGGAGTAAATGTCATCGGTTGCGCGACCGATGACTCGAGTGGGAAACGTTAATGTAACCACAGTTGAAGGTTTCGACGGGACAGTTTGCAAAATAAGGATTCTTCTATATGTGTCGTTTATGTATATGTAAATTTTCTTTTGTATTAAACTAATCATTACTAAATCTAAACAACACATGAGTACAATTTGGAGTGTTTTGTATATACGTTCGTATACGCTGAAAGTTGAATTATCGCTTAAATGTGCAAGGACACGTTAGAAAATAACATGCGCAGTGACGTTTATTGGATGTAGCTAAAATAATCGATTGCATAATCATTTCTTAGCGAGTAACGTACGTTTCGCAGCTCCTACATCGGTAAGCATACATAGGATAAATATCATAGACAGGGAATAAAACGATTCTCCAAATTATTACTCGAAGCACGTAACATGTAACTAGTAGACACGTAAACTTGTAATAGTACATATTGTAACGATAGAAGTATGTTGCCTGCCCATTTATGCATGGTCTTGCTGAAACATTGAATAGAAATGATCATTCTGATTCTGAATAATGTATCAGAATTTTCGATAAAAGATTTTAGTAATTGAATTTAATTTGCACTTAATCGATGAAAGTCAAATTTTACACAGAGCTAGATCAGAGGTCCATGACTAATGAGGCGGATTCAATTATTTTAGAGGTGGAATATGAAAATGGTACCAATTTCTCTGTAGGGGCAACGACTGACAACTTGCCACCTGGGGTTTTGTATAGAGTCAAGGCGACTTATAAATATAGATGCGAAGACGTGGACGAATTGTCATTCGACGTCGGTGATATTATTCGCGTAGTGGAGTACGATGATCCAGAAGAACAGGTTTGTATTCCCTTGTTTAATCTCTAAATGCATTAAATTTCTCTAGAAATTTCTTAGTGCACGAAACTTATAAAATACGATAAAATGTTTTGTTGCTTTAGGAGCAGGGTTGGTTAATGGGTATCAAAGAAGGCACAGATGAAAAGGGTATGTTCCCAGCGAATTTTACAAAGCCACTGTGAGAGCTTTATCGAATTCAGCTATTACACTCCAATGCTCACTGAAACAGTGTATTCTACTTTAAGAATAGTTTCAATATTAAAAGTGAGAGTCATACACAGTCATCCGAGGTATTATATATAGTAAAAAAGTAAATAACGAATACACAATGAAGGGCTACGGGAAGGGAAGGGGTGTGATAAGATAGTTATGCTGGAGGGTACTGTGGAGAATTAATCACCCCAAAGTGCCTTAACCCAGCCACTGTCTGTGCCAACATTCATTGTCTGTAATATGGGATCTCTCATATCCAATGTACGAATACACATCATTAATAATCGAATGAAATATTTAAGTAATTAAATAATATATTGTAATACATCATGCAATACTACGAGTATAATATAAAAAGCTATATATTAAATTAATATTATTTTATGAAATTGTACATAGAAGTATATATCTTAAGAATATTTTATGGAATAACTTTGTGGCCACTGAAATTATTATTAAGGACTAATGTAACGATGAAAGCATCTCTGCAATACCCTACCTTGACAAGGAATTATCAAATCGTGGAACTCCAATTACAGATCTGCATTCATATATTAGGATTTTATGATCTTTACTTATAGGACGAGGGGAAAATTACAACTAGATCCCATTAAGAATAATTATATAGACGATATGCCAAATTTTTGACTCGATCGAGTAGTTTATAACAAAATTATATAAGTAAACTTCGATACATCCGTATATCAAAGCTAAACATCATAATATACAAATGATAAGAATGTTATCCTAAGAATTTTCTATATAATTCTGTTAACAGAAATATTATGTTTTATCGATGATATACGTCTGAAAATTTGTTCTCAAAATCTCATTTACATCTTTTTTGTTTAGAGTATATCATAAAATATATAAATAAAATATTCAATGACCAAGTATTTTTCAGATATGTATACATGAAAAATCAAATAATGACGATGATTAATTAGGTTACCATTATAGTCGTTGTATCCATTTGTGTAGCAAAAGTAAAATTAGTATCGATCGATGATCCAACGAAAAAAATTTGTAGTTTTAATTAATAATCGTTAGATAGATTTCTCGAAAAAAATCGTACACCAAATCTTGTATAACAACTAGTGCTACCATAATGTATGATTACAAAGAAGAACACGGAGTCTGCCAATTTCAGCTTCCACTAAGTCGTGTGTCCTTTTATTTTATTATACATTGATCTGAGACATACACAATGTAGAAAAGTTGGATTGTTTATTTTATAAATGAAAAGTTTTATGGTTGAAAGATTGATCCATTGTCACACTAATAATTAACCCCATGTACGAATTGAAACTGTAGACAAATAATATGCTTGTTGCCAAGCATTGCAGGTGCATGATATGAAAACGTAATGTTGACATATTTTACAATTATACTATATAACTATATGATATTCATAATGATACTGAATATCATACCTATATGATATTCATAATGATACTGAATATCATACCTATATGATATTCATAATGATAATAAATGGACGTACATTTATATTGTATGAAGTGGACCAACAAAAAGCAGGTGAAAAATAAAAAAAAAAAATATTTAAATAATGATGCTAGGAAAAAAGTGTCGATACACTTTTTTTGTTCTTAAGCGTAAAGAGAGTTTACATATGATATACGATTATATGCGATATTAAATACAGAATACAAAAAAATCGACATTTCAATCAAATATTATTGTAATGTAACATATCATGCTTCGCTTAATTATCGTGAATCCAATTATTATATAATCTGAATAAGTAAACATTCCATTGATATTAAAATAAATAAATATTTTGTCTGAATATGATTTTAAATTATAAGAGCAATATTTAATTCATTATCAATGTTTTCTCTAATATTAATATATTATACCGAATATTATGCCAATAAAAAGCGAAGCATGAAAGTTGCTTCTTTACTTGAGATTTATATGATTATTTTGATTTATCCTTTTGTGTGTTTGAAGTACAGATCCAGTAATTTTTATGTAACTAATGAGCGAATGTGCCAATATGATGCAGTATTCTAGATACCAATAATGTGATGTCGTTAATGACACTACCATGTTACAAATTAAATGCAATTGTTAGTACTATCTAGAACAACGGTAATTATTTTAATTCCAGAGAAACCGAAATTGTAGTCAACCGAAACAGATATGTGTCACAAATGAGCAATAATGCGAATAACAGTAATTACTGGAAAATAGATCTTTTAATGGTATTAATATGATAAATTGTTCAATCTCTTGAGAAAGTAAGCAAATGCATTTAACGAACTTAAAGAAGATAAGCAGTAAATAAATGTTATTCTTTCTGATTTGAAAGAAAACTATGTAGATTACAAATTCAATAACAATATTGTGTGCTGAAGATATAAAATATAACAACACAAATTGTAATCAAAGTATCAAATCATGAAGTAAATGTATCAAGTCTTCTATTTTAATATATATATATATATTTTTTTTTTTATGACTGATACGAAAAGTATTTAAAGTTACTTGTAAGTATTGTTTTAAAGTTAATATTTGCAAACAAGTCTGTCATATATAGAAATGTATTTCACGAAATAATCACTACTTGTCTTCTTTATGTTATATTTATTTATTAATGTAACATACAAGCAACAACCATCGATGTTAATTAGAATTTCTAATGCACCCAAGTAATAGTAGTGAGGTCTGAATTTAGTGTAGCAGTGGAGCAATCAATTGTTATATCATTTGTCATTTTTATGCCTTGTTGTTTTATTTTATTGAAACGATCAGTCATATCTTCATAACCTTAATATAAACTATAATACGTATATACTTTTATTGCTTTAATTGTCCTTTTCAATGGGCGACGATTATAATAAACAATTACTGGTTTGTAGTATAAGTGTTTATGATTTAAATACGTGTTTTGTTTAATAGTGAACCTTGAAAAGACACCTTTCCTATGTTAACCCTTTAAATTAACTTGCAAAATTGTAGTCAATCCAGAAATTTCTTAAAAAAGAATTTCAGATTTAAAATAATGTGTATTGAAATGAATATATATTTCTCGTCGACAAGCGATTTCAAAATTTGAGTAAACTGTTGTTTTTGATAACAGAAACAAAAATGTAAAAAACATTATAATTATTGATAGAAAAACATTAAAGTACGTATGTCACGACTGCATGAACGGAACCATTGTATGCGATGGAAAAATCCTACTTTACGTAAATCTCACTCATTCTACTCGATACCCACGTCAGAAGAGGAAATACCTACTTTCTGTCGACCACAATTGTCAGCATTCCTTTTGCCAATAGCACAACATCATCTACCTTTAAACGAAACTTCTCTGAGGTACTGTATGTGTGATAAACAATGTAGCAGAAGAAAACCGTCAAGTTTATCGTACGAATCTCAAGATACTAAGGCAATATCTTAACTCGCATATTATGGATGAATTATGAAGAAAAGTCCATAAAATATTAGTATGTATTATTTATAGGTATTAAAGTGTATGGATTGTTCAGAACCTCAACAAATGCAGAAAAATTTGGAGTTACACTTAACAGGAACTCAAGTAGAAGAAGCTTTAGCAGAGGATAAACAAACGGTTTTAATACAGTATTTAGATTCATGTACTGCTGGTCTTGAAGCTCTAGTTCAGTATGGACAATCTTTGCATGTATCTCAATTAGCTGTATGTAGAGTGCTCAATGTTAGTCATCGACTGGTACTTCCTCAAACTTATCCAACAAACTCCAATTCTGATTCAACTCATTTGACAATGCAACTCCAACAGGTATATCAGTACTTTAGTTATTATTATATATCAAGTAAAATATTTGAGACTTTAACAATTATTTATTTTTTACTTGTACCAACTTACATTTACTAATAATTTAATTAAATAATATCTTGTGTGTAACAGCTGGAAAGCCAAAAACAAAACAAATTAATAATTTTAAAAGACTTAATAGAACACTGTTCTAAAAATATAGTTCTTCCCAAACATTTATATGAGTTAATAAATGTTAATTACATAAAGAAAAGAGACTTCTGCATAGCAGCAAAGAACTTTAGAAAATTTCTTAATAATTTTAAATTATCTATTCCTCAAATGAAAAAGTTGAATCAACAATATAATAATATTTTAAATGACTATCAACAGACTAGGCATACGTTAGACTTGGAACTGCCAAAAGCAATAAACATGTATGGTGCTAATAGTAACATTTTTCTCTATTTTATCTTAATATTGTAGACATTTAATTATTCATTGATAAGAATAAACTTTATTTGAATATTTTAGACGATTGACGATACTCAGAGAAAATTTTGAAAAGTTTGGGAAATTTTATGACAATATAAATGATAATGAAATTGTAACATTACTTAGGTTGATTGGAGAAAAACTTAACATAGATAATTCAGATTCAGTTTCTCATGATCAACTTTTAATAAAACCTGAGATATGTGAAAAATGTAAAATAAATTGTATCAATGAGAAATAAAGCAAGAAAGAAGATTTCATTAATAATAGTACTGTTAGTGTAATTCTTGGTCTATGAAATGCAATATATACAAATTATGGACTCTACAAAGCCTTATACTATGGCTTTAATCCAGTTAATAAATAAGCCAAGGTTTGGCCATGTCAATGACATCTGCATTGTAAGAATGTATTCTAAATATTATCAGTTATTTGAGACCGCCTGAACGAGCTGTTATGTAAAAATAGCTGAATATACGCAATATTATCAGTTATTTGTGGAAATAGTACTCATTTAAACACAAAACTATGTCAATTTTTTCTTTGTATCAACTTAAATAAACCAAGGTCAATAGAAGTCTTTTTCATCAAAGTTCTTCGATTACCATATTTCTTTATGAGATGACTATATTCTTTTGGTATATGCATAGAGAAACATGCAAATTATATAAAAGTTATCATCTACAAAGTATGAGTGAAACATTTATACAGAAAAGTCAATTTCTTGGTTTTGCAAATTACGCGACCCTCTTAGTGTCCCTTAGTGAAAATAAAAACTACAAAGGTATCTACTTGACATTAAGAAATTCATAACAATAAATAACGCGGAAATTTATAGAGTTAGAGTTGTTTAGTTGATCATCTTTCATGTTAATTTTAGTACATACCGACTAGACGTAAAAATAGCATGTAACTTGAGGATGAATTGACACAGGACTATGAAATTGAAAACCGTTAAAACCGTAAATCGTTGAAACGAGGTTTTATTGTATTATGAGAAATATTTTTCTTCCGATTCCATGATTTTACACTACTTTGAGAAATGCCAATCCAAGACATTGGATTACCGATGGAAACTTTCAAATTCCGGAAACTAAACTATAGTCCATGAAAGTGGCGTGACCAATCAGATACACACATTAATTCATGGCTGACTCTATAATTTCAACAGTTAGAAATAGACAAGATCACTCGATGCTTAAGATTCAGTCACACTGGATATGCTAAACACTTTTAAGGAAAATATTCCTTGCGTTTGAAAAGAGGCGAAAGAAAATCGCGACGATGTTTGTTGCGAACTTGACCATCGCAGCTAAAAAGAAATACAGTTAGTTAGGCTGACCCAGGGGTGAATCTATTACGATACTAATGAAGCTTGAACTTCAGGCCTCCACAAACTTAGAAGGGCCTATGAGCTTCTTATTTGTTGATCTTTTAATTTAATTCCTTTTCCCGACCTATTTTGAAGGAAGAAAAATTATTTCATACATAACCTCCTAGCTTTCAAATTTGATTTAGATCTTGATATATTTTTAAAGATATAGGTGCATTTGTTGGATCAATTTCCAATGATTCAATTTGTAGGTTTTAATGTCTATACTTTGAAATATTTCGTTGAGAGAATAATGAAAAGATAAATATATTTTTGTAACGATAAAATGTTTCGGTAAATGAAGGAAAGCGATTAGGTCCAGGCCCCAGGCCCCGATGTGTTCCGATTCGGCACTGAGTTAGGGTGACCGGTGGGTGATTCGGCTGTAGAGAAGGGCATGAAGAAAGTAGGAGAACGAGAAAGGAAGACAGAGTGATCGGAGGAGAGTGCGCGCGTGATCCGTGGAGCAACAGCGGTGGCAGCCATGTCGCTACGAGCTGTCAGAATCGGTCGGTTGTACAGAGAGACGAGAGTATATAACCTATATCCGAAACGCCGCGGCGCTGTTACGTTCTCCGTGCCTCCTCCCCGGCGGGTGGCGGCCGCACCTCCTCCTTCTCGCCGATTTTAATCTCGTTAGCGGACACGTGCGCGCCCCCGCGCCTACAGACCGCTATACGACGACGTACCGTGTCGGGGCTTCGCCAATCTGGTTTGGTCTAACAGGATTCTCGAGCGACCGAGGGTTGATAAAAGGCTGCGTACTGAGCGGGCGCGGCGCGAATCGCAGGAGGAGTTGCTCCGTTCGAGGTGGTGTGAGCGCTCCGTGCAACCAGCGGCAATAACAGCAGACGACCTCGTATCATCGTCTTCTATTCTGTCGCCCCCGGTTCGTTGTTTCCGTCTACGTTCTCCTTGTAATCTTGTCCTGTCGTTTGGCATACGTCGCTGTCGCGAATAGAGGTTGCGTGTGTGCGCACACGGTGCATATTCAGTGTGAATCTATCTCGTCGCGTGTGCGATATAGAAAGAGTACGCTAGAGATAGAAAGAGAGAGAGAGAGAGAGAGAGAGAGAGAGAGAGAGAGAGAGCGAGAGTGAGTGAATCGAAGAAAAAAGGAGAGAGACAGGGAACGAGAAAGAAACAGAGAGGGGGTGAGAGAGAGAGAAAGATAGGGCGAACGCGAGAGAAGGAAAGAGATAGAGCGCCGGTGGGTTACCACACCCAACCGCGCCGGGAACCGAGTGAACGAGCCGTACGAGAGAGCTGTCTCGCGAGTAGTACGCGGGTACAGCGAGGGACCTAGGGACCGACGATCGAGATTCGACAAAGTAGAGTCGGGACTCTTTAGATCTCGATCCAACGGACCTCGCTCTCGCGAAATTCGTCTACTCGCCGAAATCGTGGGTCGCGAGTAAAGGCTAAACGCTTAACGTGTGTGCGCGCGTGTCTCCTCTCCGCGAGTGCGTTTCACGTTTCCGTTGCGAAAACGTGCGTGGCTGGGTATACATACGTCGGGAAAGTTATAGAAGAAAGATAAGGATAAGGTAATAGAGGAAAGTAACGGAAAAGCTAAATAAGAGGCGAGAACGAGAGGGCAGAGACAAGCTGCCGGCCGAGATTCGTGCGTGTGCGTACATGTGTTGATGTGTCGCTGGCGTCGTCGAGCCCTGCCAAGAGTGCTCCGTCGCCGCGTGTGTCGACTAAGTTGAGAATACGAGGATCCGTCGAGTCCACGTTTACGTCTAACGTCGTCATTCTCGTACACGTCGCCGTGGACAAGTGGTTTGTGAAGCGTGCTAGTGGCGGTTAGTGTTGGTGCGGACGATCGGAAATTTCGTCGGTTTCGCCAGGACGAGAGGAAAGGAAGACGAGAAAGAAACCACGAGGACAGCGACGAGAGATCGTCGCTTGCTCGCGGTGGCTCGATAATATCGGCCCGACGACGATACTGTGCCCCGTCGAGCCCGCTGCTGTCCACAACAAACCTCGTCGCTCGGCAATCCCTCGCTACCACCGCAAATCGCTTCTTCCCTCTCTCCCTTCCTCCCTCCTCCCTCTCCCTCCTCCTTTTCCTTTTCCTCCTCCTCTTCCTTCTCATTTTTCTCCTCTCTTCCTCCTCTATCCGTCGAGGATCCTGCCGTCCTGAGCCATGGCGTGCTGCCTGTCGGAAGAGGCGAAGGAGCAGAAACGTATCAATCAGGAGATTGAGCGGCAACTACGAAAGGACAAGCGTGATGCCAGGCGGGAA